TAAATATGCTCTACATGGATAGAACAATCAAAACTAACTTCTTGACGGGTAAATCATCTAAAGCCAACAGTGGCATTGCAAAACCGCATGAGACCAATCATTGTTCCTATGATATGGTTGTTCGCAGTAAGCGAAACCGTTTGATACATGCTGTTCATTGTTGTTCGATCATGGATGAATCCCAGACATTGAAAAGGGAAGCCGCCTCTCATTCTTTTGTTGCTCCCTGTCAAGGCGAAATTGTTGTTGAAGCAAAACCAGTTTGCTCCAAAGCAGGGGTACAACTTTGCAGGAGATGATACCATATTATGATACCTTTTTAGGTACAAGTAGCCCCGGTCTTGCAAGTTCCTAGGATATCATCCGGTTATTTCCACAGATGGAGCTGGCCCTCTTTGGACCGCGTGTAAAAGGGAGCCAAAGGACGTCCAACCACTTTGGCGTGTTTCAATGTATTTGAGAGATGCTCCGAACCTCAGTGACCAAGCCGCAAAGGCAGACAAATGGTTTGGTTTTCTTTGGTTTCCCTCTACCTGGGACCAATTTTCTACATGGTAGGTGCCAAAATCTTTGGAGCAACCCTGCTCTGTAAGACACACCGATTTGCTCCCCTGCAGATTCGCATGGAGCTCGAAAAGAGGGTCCCCAAAAGGATATTTAAGTTTCAGTGTAGATGTCCAACCTGTAAACGCTTTTTGGGGGCAGCTTCGGGATGATTCAAAAGCAAAAACAACGGGAAGCCAACCCAATACGGAAGTCACCGAGGCCCGATCCCGCCGCGGGCCCAGCAATTGAAGAGGGGCACGAAGACAAGTCTTTCAATTGGCGTGTCAAAATCGGGGGACCGCAAACCTAGAGGTTGTCCTTTGGATCTTTGTTCTCGTCTTACAACAAGCACCAGTGTTTTTGTGCGGGCTAAAGGTTTGTTTAAGAGGAAATCAACAGGAAACTCACTTTCCTTTTACTTCCCCCACTTGCTTCTCCATTAAAGATCTCAATGATTTGAAAGAACAGATGCGGGAGCAAGGGAAATTAATAGACGAGAGATAGAGAGGAAGTGGCCAGCTTCTTTTATTAATGTGGTCCCAGTTACCCATTGATCTCTTTCCACTCACCAATTGAGAACTAATAAATCTGGAATGCAGGTGAGTGATAAAGAGGTGAAAAATGCCGCCGCTGGCAAATCAAAAAACATGCAGCACGGACACTGCCTTTTTTGTTATCTCGCAGCTGCCTGATTCGAAATACAATCTCTTCCACTTGTGAGGGTAGTATCTCGCAGCTGCCTTATTCCAAATCCAATCTCTTTCACTTGCGAGGGTAGTTATCTCGCAGCTGCCTGATTCCAAATACAATCTATTCCACTTGTGAGGGTAGTTATCTCGCAGCTGCCTTATTCCAAATCCAATCTCTTCCAGTTGTGAGGGTAGTTGTCTCGCAGCTGCCTTATTCCATATTCAATCTCTTCTAGTTGTAAGGGCGGAATCTCCCTAGTACCCACCAGATTCTGACTTTGAAGACCACCCCAGCGACAACTGGTCGAATGGAGCTGTGCCAAACCAAATCGTAATCTGTTCAGCACAACCCTGGCTCCAAAATCGGATGGTACAGGAAGCACTCAGGCGCCTTGCTTCTGCTCATCCAGGCTGAAGCCCAACATGTGACTCGCATGGATGCGATATTTCAGGTGCGCTCCAGGCCTGAGACAAAGTCTGGAGATGTGAAAACCGGTTGGATCCTGACTCCAAAAACCCAATAAAATCAACAAGCTCTTAGGAATATTGCTCGCATTCCCCACGAAACAAATACAAGCAACCATAATAATAAACAACAGTCTCGCCCTTTGGAAAGGGTGCACAGATGCACTTCCAGGCAGGGAGGGTATCAATTGCATCGGAGTTGGCCAACAGATTTCTGCCGGAGAACCCTGTTTCCGAATTCACGCACCGCAATGGCGTTCTTTTCCGACAAAGCCGCATCCGCCCTCGGTTGGTTGAAACGTAGGTCAAGGCTGAGCCGCCCGGGTCCCAAGACGAAATGTGGTCGGGCAATCTACGAGTCTCCAAGGTGCTCCCTGATGGACAAAATCCCGCTCGCACCAGTTGGGATTGGTTTATCCCGGTTTTAGGGCTTCATCCATGTCTGGTGCGTCCAGTCTGTGGCCACGAAGTCGACTTTGACCAGCCCAGTTTTGGTTTCGGAGTTTCAATTGCAACACCCAGCTTACCTAGTGAATCCGTTGCCCTGCGTAGTGGGCAACCGAAGGAACCACCCTTTAGCCCAAAGGAAACGTCGCTGGTTACCTATAATGCAGGGAAATGAAATCACTCGGTTGAGCATCACCTTTTGGTTGCGCATGTAAAAGTCGTTTCCTCTAATGTGGGAGCAGCAAAGTTGTAAGGCTTTCCTTTGGGCGCTTGGGGACTGATTGCCCTCCCACCATTGAACCCGACAGAAGGCCGCAAACGATCTAAAGGTGCCTTCCCGCATATACGCCAACATATGATCTGTTTGGAGGGAAAAAATGTGGGAACATATTCCCGGAGTGCTTACGTATGAGAGGCAGGGTAAGACATCCATCACAGTCCAGCGAGCTCGCCTGTGGTCAGACTGAGCTCACCCATGATACAGGTGGCTTACTTTGGTCTTTGGGGATTTCTGAATTCAGCTTGGTGTAGTATATTAATTCGTTTCATAAAAGCTGGCTGTGTTTTTTTTTTTTTACACTAGTCATGACTGCTACAGGGTCAAGAGTTTAAATCCTTGAAGTGTGAAATCTCCTTGCTTAGTTTGCCCTGAGGAACATCTGACCTCAAGGGACCTACTTTTGTCATCCAGTGATTGATCTTGTTGGAGATTGAAGGTACGCCAGATGGCCTTTAGGTGCTTGGCTGCACTTGTTTACTTTTTTTTTCGGATGGGGGTACACCCCTTCAATTAACCTAGAACAGGAACTGGGTTTGGCGAGCAGGCGCTGGTGGATGCAGCCTATCCAGAAGCAGAATTGTTGGCACGCGCTATGAAAAACATGGTGGTGCGCCAGGATGGAGAAGCAAGTTTGGGAAGAGAGAGTTGTTTCAGGTAAGCTGGCTGGGTGTCACTCCCAAAATTCCAACATTGGATATTGATCTCACTGTTCATGCAAAAGAATCCTTGACACCCACCAAGACGCGGTCGTACCGATATCCTGAGCAATTTGGCGTAACTGCAACAACAAGGGCGCCCTTTTTTCCCCGTGGTCGCTGCGATTGTTGTAAGGGGGTTGCCTTTCAAAGTCAACCGAGCAAAGCTTGGTGCGATAGGCAGGGAGTGAGAGAATGTTGAATGACCCAAGGGCTGGCTTATAAAAGTTTCCATCTGGTGCATCTGACCCAAGGGCTTTCAAACCATCCATCTGGTGGTTTCCTTTAAGGGGAACTCTGGGTTCATCGCAGCTGCGAGGCCCAAGGCTCTGGGCGTGCGGAGCCCCAGCTGGGGGTTGAGGGGACGAGCCTCGTAGGTTTCCGCGAGCGGCAGGGAAACCAAAGTGGAATAGGTGGGTGTGTCTTGAAGTAGGGAATCCCCCTCGAAAAAAATAAAAATGGTTGGTTTCCCTTCTTTTGCCCTTTCTGCCAACCCCAAGAAGGGTACCCTCAAGAAAAGGACACGGCCAAATAAACCAAGGAAAAGATGTTGGGTCCCTCAAAAGGCAAACCGCAAGACAATAGTGTGAATTGTGAAGTTTGTGTGTTCCCTACTTGCAAGGGGGTGGGATGGTCACAAATCCTTTCGTGAGGGGTTTGTCACAAAATATCCTAAGGAGGCCACCGTGGCCCGCTTTGGAACGTCCTCCCACAAACTCCGAGCCACCCAGGACCTCGCATGGGAAGTTTCCTTGGGTCTGTTTGCAATCCCTGGAGCCTCCATGACTCCTTTGAAAGCAGGGTATGCCAAACACGAGCCCCAACTTGTTGGGAAGTCTGCCGACCACGGTGTTCATTTAGACAGTTGTGCCATGGACGCCTGGATACCCGAAGCACCCGTACACTCGGACTGCCCGTACACTCTTCACGGCGTAGTCAGCCGATTTCGTCGACGCATGTCCACGCTGTGTATGCCTACCTGGTGACGTCGCTATGCACCGAACGGTTCCGACAGGGTGTCTGCTTGCAGGTTTGGCGTAGGCTTCTTGAGAACGAGGCTTGACCAACGGGGTACTGTATGTTTCCCTCAAACATCCAATTCCACGTTTGCCACCTGATTATGATTCAGGTCAAAGCCCGGGCATTTGCAGCTTCAGGTTTTCGGGGTAGGGCTACCTCTGTGAGTTTCTTAGGCCGTTACCCCGGATGTAAGTCGTATATCAGGTACCCCTAGTTGGTGGTTTAGATTGGTGCTTGGGGATTTCGAGCCTGGGTCTAGTACGTAGAGGGTAAGAAGGACACCGCCCACAGCTCTAAACCACCAGGCTCCAAACAAACAATTAGAGGGAAGCTGATCCCTAGAGTTCAACCCCCATTCAAAGGAATGGTTGACCAATTTAGATGAGGAATCTCCTTGGGGAAACTATATTGGCTCATTTTTATGGGTGGTTTGAGCCCCAAGGTGATTATAGCGTTATCTCCAAAGATTGTCCGCCCGACATGAAAGCCCTTAGCAGGCCTCGAAAAGATAGTTCATTTTGTGCGGGATACCTGAGAAATCCAACCTGACTGACCGAGTTCTGTTTGATGAAATGGGGTCCACCCAAAAATGCTTGGCTCCCTTGTTCTACCAGGGCGCTAACATGCCCAGCTTATTTATCTGAGGTGTGGTTGCATGGCCGCCTACTGGACAGGAAACTGAACTTCTGGGCCCCATACTTCCAAAGCCGATTCAATACCTGAGGATGGGTTTTGCTTGGAGGGTACTCTATGGTAGGTTTTTGTCAGTGACGCCCTATGAGGCAACCAACCACTTTGAGGGTCCCTTTTGACGCTGAAGCTTCACCCGAGTCCGGGGGCATGAGCCCGTCTCGCGAGGTGCCTGGCTCCAGAGCCCAGCGTGCCGGATCTCGGGAACTGGAGGTGCCGGAGAAGGACCGCTGGTGGAAGTGGTCAAACCCTGTACCTTTTTGGTTGGTAACCTTGGTTAGACCAATGCGTGAGCACTTGCTTGGGCAACCGAAAAGTACCTTTATTTTAGTTTGAGTCATACGCTCCCTTGAGGGTAGAAGCCCTGGTCACGGCCCTTGGAAGCTGCGTCAGGAGTACTCTGCTCTCGGTGTTCTCCTCGTGTAAAAAGCTAGGACTTGGCGTGAAGGTAGCGGGGCAATCTCAACTTGAATGTGTTTGCCTCGGCTTTTGGGCAAGGCGCTGTTTTCCAAAGAGTTCTTGAGCGGTTTCCAGCAGCAGCTCTTCTTTTTCTCACACCCTCAAGCATGCAGATTAAGGCAAGCTCAAACAGGTTGCAGGGCCCCAAACCTGGAAGTGCAACAAAAATCGCCTTCCCTTTTGGGACCCTCGTGTTTTTTTGTCGCACCAAACCGGGTGATCCTTTCGAGGACGCCTCCCGCCGGCCCAGCGCCAGCCCGGGCCCGCGGAAGCGCTCCAGCCGCGGGGCGAGCCCCAACCCTGAGACGCGCAAGCCCAAGGCGCCTCGGCGAGAATTTTTGGGGGCGAACAACTATTTTTGTTGGTTTTCACACAGAGTTATCCCCCAAAAGGTGGTCATTCCCCCAAAAGGAGGGTTTTCCCCCAAAAGGTGTTGTTTCCTCCCCAAAAGGTGTTTTTTTCTCCAGGCATTCCCTCCAGTGCTTCCAGGTGTCAGGTGTTTTGCCGGGATGCCACAAAAGGAAGGTCTTCCAAAATCCGCCTGTCAGCTTCCATGATTGCTTGAGGGGAGGGTAGCCTTGGTGATAATCTGAACATCCACTAGCTGTTTCTGGAATTTCCGGACTTGATTCGTTTCAGCTTGTGTATTTGGTTGGACTTACTCTGCCATTTGTGGCGTGAATCTGTTATTTTCCTTGGCATCATCACCTTGAACAGCAAGGGTTGGTGGAGGACCTGGACTAGGTTGCCCTTAGTTGGTTTAGATCGGTGGCGTATGGACTTGAACCCCAGTAATAATGTACAGTGTTAAACCAAATGGGGAGCCGTCTAAACCATCAAACCACCAATCAAGGGTAATATGATTTGTTGAGTTTTTTGTGTGTGTGTGTGCGCGTGTGCATGGTTGTAGAAATTGGGTTTCAGGTTGCCACTCTCTGTGATACCATAGAAGCACGTTGCAAGTGAAGAATATCACTAAAGTAAACCCCATAATAATAATATGTGTTTTTCTTCTACAACCATGTGTGTGCGCGCGTGCATGTTTGGAGGATGTTGTTGTCAGTGGTGTGCACTTTCGGTGCGTACTTGCAACTCGATTAAATTATATCATTATGCAATCCAACTTTGGAAGAAAGGCCCTCATTGATATGGTGCTGTTTATTTTTTGCCAGTTGTTTTCAGTCCTTTCATCCGCTCGAAAAGCTGCCAACCCCAAACCTGCGTGAAAAGGGGGTATGTTAGTTTCCCCCACAAAGTGCTCCGGATTTTCAAACTGGACCGACCCAAAGTCAACTTCTGGGGGGTGAACGAGATCCTCCCAGCCTGAGGAGACGGGGTCACCTACAGCCGACACCAAAAATGGCTCGCTGGAAGCGCCCACCATGAAGCCGAAGCGCTTGAGCCAGCGGGAAATGGAGGGTGAGCGCTCCCTGGAGATGCAGAAGGCGCGGTTGCGCATCGGTAGGCGGACCAGCTCGAACCGGATCCCATTGGCGATTCGACATATTCGACTTTCCACTGGGGCAAACCCTTCCTCTGGCTTTTGCGCCCAAAACGCCCCTAGACCTTTTGGAGCAGAGAGATGCGTAAGGATCGCAAGGGCCGGAGGGCCCTTTTTGGAAACAAATGCTCCTTTTCCGTTAAACATACAGCAGGTGATCGAACATTTGTTCAGAGGCGAAGGACATACATTCCCCCTACAAGTTAAAAATCACACCCATTTGGCCCATTTGGACAAATTTCGAGCTCCCCTAGTCTGCAGACACAGCAGAGCTCGCATAGGAGGACCAGCCAAGCCCCCTGGATGAGGTCCCTTACCTTTAGGATTCCTTATTTCCTGCTTATGAGTTCCACTGTGCCCGGAAGCAGCCCCAAGTAGAAATATTTTTTTGGGCAGGAGGCTGACTTGTGGAATTCCGTTTAAATGTATGTGTCCAGGTGGAGTGAAAAGCTAGAAACATGGAATACTGGCCTTTGTGATCTCCTTTCTTGAATCAACTCCAAGGTTGCGTAATCTTTTCATCATGCTCATCCATTTCCACCCAATCCCTTTTTGTTTACTGGGTTCCCCAGTAATCATTGTCAACCCGAGGGCTCCAATTCAGATTCATGGCTGGTTTGAGTTTTGGGCTTAGTGAACCCTGTTCGTGCCATCGGTTTTGAATCACACCCTCAATGACTGCTGGCGAAACAGACTTCCCTTGTTCAAGACATACCAAGCCTTATTTGCCCCCCCCAATTTCTTGGAAGCTTGGCACAGCTATCTTGCCAAAAGTGGAAGAAGTTGTTGTATAGACTCACCTTCTTCTGAATACCCGGTGCTTCCAGCGGGTGTGTCTGGTTTTGCAAATACCCTTTGGGGGTTTTAAAGGGAAACCAAATGGACGCCAACCATTTTGGGTACCCTTATTTTGAGACCCACCCAAACAAACCCGGACCTGTTGTCCCAATCTTTTCGCTGCGAGCTGCGCAGGCCAGCGTTCAGCTCGAGCTTGCGCAGGCTATGGAGGCAGAGTCCCAGAACTGGCTGCGAGCAATTTCAACTTAAGCAACCCCCTTGCAACACAGTCCTTTGCACAACCAAGATGCCTTGTTTACCTTTAAAAACGCCACAGGGCTGGGTGCGCCTCCCAAAAAACGTAGCCTTGGAGTCGGTTCGCTTTGAGGGGAAATGGGTCAAAGTACCAAGGCACCACCCCTTGGAACCTTGGCTCAAGGATCCAACTAGGACTCCATTCGTTTTGCTTTCTCCCAAATTGTGGTTCTCTTGTCACGAGAAGGGAGCCGGGCTTTCTTTTTGTGGGAATTATCTTTAGGGTTGCACGGTTTGCAGGTGTGTTTGATCATCAACCAACCCAAAAATGGCAACGTATTAGTTCTATTCAAAACCAACAATAAACCTTCCGAGCTGGATGTTGTGTGGTTGCTAGGTGACTAGTTGTGGCATGTTCTTTCCTGGTCTGGGCAAGATTGTGGCATGTTGGCACGGTAGGGGTGCAGAGCCACTTATGAAGGTTCCTTACTTGGAATTGCTTCGTTCAGCGAATTATTTT